CTACAGAACACTTGGCACAGCACCAGATACCAATTCAGAATTAACTACATATGGGCTTGTGAAAAGCTTATACTATATTTAAACAACTTTAAGCTTGACAATTCATCATCTTTAACAGATAGTGATTACCATATTCTTTTATCTACCTGGGTATTTTTTATGCTTTATCCAAAGTTAGAAACAAATTTAAGAGTAAACGAAGAGTCTATAACTACAAATCAATGTCAAAAGAAGACTGGAAAAACTTTACAGAGCAAGTAAATACCAATATGACCCAACATAAGGTCCCAACTACAACAGACACATCAGAAAGCCTAGAAACAACATGGCACAAATATATACTTGTAATATCAATGCTGCACTTTCAAATATTCCAAACAAAAAATACACAATTCGAAACTTTTCTCATACATTCACCCCAAAGGCTACACAACTACATAATGACCTAAAAACTATTGGCTATATTATATACCGTGTCAAAAACACTTCTTTACAAAACTCCTCTACCTAATAATATCCAAAACTTAATTGACACGATTAATAACAAACATGGATTCTCAGTCAATCCATCTCCAACACAACAACATGATCTTAAAACATGGATAAACAACACCAAAATCTACTAGAAAACCCTTTATTATACTAGAAATCTCAAAAATGCTTAACACTTACGAACACATATTAATACTGCTATTAACAAACAATGTGAACATCTACTAACACAACCAACTAAAATGATCAATAGTATACTAAACTGACATAAAGACCCAGTCCACATTAGCAATATTAAAACTGCTACTAATATCATTACTGATTCTAATAATATCAAGCAACATATTAGTAATCATTTCAATACATGGACAACATACAATCTCTATAATAAAACAATCTTTAACCAAACATGGAAAACTGAATATTAATCCAATCCAAGCATCAAAGCAGATTGGTACAACTCTGTTCTTACTGAAATCAGAGATCTCCTTTAGTATAGGTGGGCATATATAAATTATTACAAGATTATAATATATAAAACCTAATTAATTTGAGCTAATTTAAACTTTAACCTTAACCCTGACTCTAATAATTTATAAAATTACTTAAATTAGTTCAAAATAGTTAAATTATATATATTATAATTGTATAATAATTATATATGCCCACCTATACTAAAGATCAACCGAAATCAGTACTGATGAAGTTTTAAAAACAATCTAACAACTACCCAATAACAAAGCTTGTGGCCCACTAGGAATAAGCTATGAAATGATCAAATATACTAGGACAAACATGTTGCAAGCTCTGACTGCATTTTTCAACTGATGTATTATATCATAACACATTCCAAAACAATGGAAAAATAGCAGAATTTATGAATATTAATGGTGAGACCATGTCTCTGTCTTTATTGAAATAGCAGAATTTATCCAATATCTAAAAAACTACAGTTTGATGATAACCTTCACAATACACACCCAATTAATCTAATCGAACACACTAAAAAACTTTATACCAAAATTCTTATCAACCGACTAACACAAGTATTCACAACATACTCTATACTCAATCTATACAACTACATAGCACTTCCTGGCAACTTTACAAATAATCTTATATATATCCTTAACAACTTTGTTAAAGATGCAAAATGTTATAACAAACAAATCTGGTTGCTATCACAAGACATGAGCAAAGCCTATGACTTTGTCAACTTACAACTTCTTACCAAAGCTCTATAATAACTTAACATGCCTACACATCTTGTAAATACTATTACCAACCTTTTACAGAACCGATTCAATTAAGTTATTACAAATTTAGGCCTGATACCATCATATACTATACAGGATGATATAGACCAAGAAGAAACTATAACACCTCTCCTATGAAGTATTTATTATGATCCTCTTATTAACTATATATACAAACTATATATAGGATACTCATTCTCTGTTGAATGGCTTACTCAAATCAATCCAACCAAATTCAAATCCTTGACTATCTCTACTTCTGTTCTGGCATATATGGATAACACTTTGTGGATTGCCAAATCTGCCGAACAACTATAACAAATAGTTCATTCCACATCATCATTCTACTCTATAGCCAATATTAAAGTTAATCCACATAAATCCATCCTTGTCTTCAATACTAATCAAACACCTGTCATTACCTTTATGAACTCTAATATTCCCACACAACCTCAACATACCCCCTTTAAATTTTTAGGTTGCTGGTTTACAGCTACCCTATAATACACTAAACAATCCAAACTTATCAAACAAGAAATACTTGAACTTAATGAGGTACTCAAAACCAAAAACATTACAGACAAACAGGCTGTTTACATAATAAATAATGTTATTATCCTACCGAATACACAACATAGTGCTTTCTCGCACTATATGTAATTCAATTCTTTCACAGTACCTCACTATAGCTAAGCATAAAGCTAGGCTAGCTACAACTACTTCCAACAGTACCATGCTCAACCACAACATTTATGGTATTAAAAACATATAGGATATACAATTATAGCACCACATCTCTAACTTTTTGCTCAGAATTAATAACTCTAGCCTCATAGGTAATAGTACACATATTAGGCTTCAACAACTATAAAACAATCTGTGGTCTACCACCAACATTCTCCAGCACCCTCAACCAGTAATTGATGACCAAACAGACAGACTACAACTTTTAAGATTTTACAACTTCTTTAGCAACTTCAATTAACTCTAAATTCTTACTCTATAAACCTCTGACTATATACACTACAATACCTATATACCACTATAGAATACATTCTTAGCACTCATAAACTATACCCACAATTCAAAAAAAATTACGTAATAAATATATTCTTTATCTTAAACAGCTTACATCTAGTGATAATACTATTTTACTAGATTGGCTGCATATTTTATCATGCTTACAACATATACCCAAAGGCCGCAAGCCTCTTTGGTATACTATACTTGAAAACAAAATAATTATTAACCAACACTCTAGAGAAATAGATCCTCAACTATACCTATCTAGTACAAACTCCTTATCACTTACTACTGGTCACTACAATCGCAATACAAAATCTAAACTATGGCTTGTTACATAAACTAATAATGAACACTCTCAATGTATTATCTTAGAAAAATCAAGAAAATATAATAAATGTCGCGGCTGATGCTGGAAACGGCTGAAGCGGAAACTCAGGGACTCTGATTTAAAAATATAAACCATGCCAAAATCTACTTATACTCTTTCATTATCAAAACTAACCCTAAATCCTAATCTAATCATTAAAAAAATGCTAAAAAAATGCACCCCAAAAAAATTTGAAAATTTCATATTAAAATATTTAAAATTTCCAGCTTCAGCCGCAACAATAATTAACAGGAGGAATCCTACGCTGGAGAAATTAGTCAAAGTACTATTACAGAAAAGCACAAAACTTGATCCAGAATTGGTGGTTTAAAAAAAAATATGGATTTGCTTGATACATTATTTCCAATTGAATTATTAATATGCTACTTGCTTTCATAACTTGTAATCTGTAATAATTGCTTTCATATAACATGTAATTTGAATTATATTTGTTTTGCGTAACTCGCTATTTGAGTATATTTGCTTTTGCAACTCTCAATTTAACAAACCTTTCAATAAATTAATTGTTGTGACTCGAATTAATCGAATAAAACTCGAATAAATAATTTGATTTGAACACTCTTCGGAGCTTAATTCACGAGTTAATACGAGTCTAGTTACTAGACGCGGGATCACTTTTTTAAAATTTTATGAAATATTCGGCCTAATTTTTTTTTTTTAATTTGTAAATATATATTCAATAGAAAAGTGAAAATTTAAAATCTTTAAAGTTGCTTTGATTTTAATCAGGTAAAATCGCAAAACAATATTACCTATCAAATTACGTACTATATCCAATTATTATTCTAAATTGGGCGGCATGTACAATGTCTAGTTACATATATAAAAAAACCAATTAACCTAATGTCAAATTATGTGTTAACATTAATTACAGATGTTTGTTCTAATAAAGATTATTTAGTGTGAAAATTAATTAGTGAAAATGTTCATCCAAAACGTCTTTTATCAATTATATAGGTATGTTTAATTTCAACTTTAGTTTGTATCCAACAAATAATGGCCCAGCAACTAACCCAACAAAAGTTACAAACATTATCAAAAATAAAATCCCATATGACCATATAATGCGCCTCCTTCGTTGCTTCTGTTTATATGAAAAAATTGGTGCTCTAATTTGCTTGCTCGGTCTCAACCAGAATAACATAGTGGAATGCCATTTATCAATACAAGGTATTAAACATATAGGTGCTAACATGAACAACAAAATATGACATAGTATAAAATCTGCGGCAAATAATGTCATTTCTACGATTTTACAAATGTATTCACGGAAAGGTTGGGTGATCTTTAACACACCAAGTCCACGTCCATGCCATTTTCCTGTCCACCACGCTCGATTTGATTCGTCATGCTTAAATTCCCGTGTTAAAAAAACAACGATCAAAAATTTGCAAATAAATCGTTGAATAGCTGTTAGTGCAATCATTCCCAATACTGCGTAACTTAAATTCCAAGTTTCGATAAACCACAAAAGTTCAAAAGCTCCAATTAAATTAAGAACTGCACAAGTGTGTGCAATAGCTGCTATAATTGATCCAAATTTGGAAAAACATCTATTCATAATAGGTCCAAGACAAAATGAGACAAAGAAGAGTCCAGCAAGCACGATAGCATTCATTACAATTGGTCCAATAGCTATGGCGCAAATACATATGAATGCACTAGGTCCTTTGTTTGGAGTTCCGGGGTTTAAATGGTCGAAACTATTTACAAACATAAAAGCTATTATACAAAGTGCTGCCGATATGAACGGTGATAAGATTTCCGATACAAAAATAATTGCAATATTTGGTCTTGGAATATCAACTAATTTCTCTGAAGGGTGCCCCAATCGTTTTCGTTTATTACCAGTAATCATTGTCCTAGATGCACGGCAATAAGCAATCCAAGAATTGGTATGAGATTTGGAATTTCCACGTGACATCCATCTTAAGAATTCTCGGTAATCAATGATAAATTCAGAGAGTGAAAATTGATGTGGATTAAAAATGAATGGGGAAATACATAAAGCTATGACTGTAACCCAAAAGTACATAAGATGTGGTAACCACATTGTCATGGTGACAAAAAGTAAAATTAACAAGATTCTCATTCCAAAATAAATGCTAGGTCCAGCAAATCGTGAGTATAAAATCGAAAATGGGATGCGAGAAGTAGCAAATCCTCGTCCAGTAGCGATATATCGTGCTCCACCAAAGTTAAGATTTGACATTATACTACTGGCACAAATCTGTGTAGTAAAAACTTCAAAGAATGGTGATAATGACATCAAATGTTTGCTAAGGCGAATTACACTGTGAAAGAATCCTTTTTCTGTCAGTTCTTGTAGAAACAATGGTAAAAATGCTACAAAAAACACAATAAAGATAGAGATGATTGAACGTTTAATCCAATCAAAGACGGGGAAAAGATTGTGACACCCAGGCGGATTAAGTGGTGCTGTTGGGTCCGGATTGAATTCACATAAAGTCAAAGTTGAAGCCATCGAACCAATAAACATCATACCAAACATGAATAATTGTACCGATAGTATAATAAAAACATTGTTCACATGAAAACCAGGATGTGCATAATAGAATGTCAAAAATCGATCCAAAGGAAGTTGTGTTCCAAGATAATAATATTCGCGAGACAACATTTGTTCTCCCATGCCAGTACTGATTTTAGTGGTAAAATGGAGGATAGAACTAAATCCAAGATCACGGCCTTTACCACATTGATAATATTCTGCATGCTTGATACGTCCACCACGATTAAATGCGTTAATACCAGCGTAAATATCTTCATTAAGATGTAAACCCTTTTGAGCTTTAGATATACCTATTAGAATTTGTATAAAATTAAAAGTATTGAAACAATCAATATAAATAATCAATATAAAAATAATCATATAAAAATAATCAATATAAAAATAATCAATATAAAAATGATCAATATAGAAATAATCAATATAGAAATAATCAATATAAAAAGAATCAATATAGAAATAATCAATATAGAATATAGAAATAATCAATATAGAAATAATCAATATAAAAATAATATAAAAATAATCAATATAAAAATAATCAATATATCAATAAGTAATAATCACTATAATTAATTAGACTATTACTTACCACCACGAGTCGTCATGAATATAAAATTCAAGAAATCTGGATGACCATAATGCAATCTACCACCTACACTTGCAGTTATGCGTTGAGTTAGAGCACTAAAGGTCCATTCTTTACCAGCTGCAACATCACCAAGTATACCATAATTCTCTGAAAAGATATATTCGCGAGCACCAACAATAGCTACGGGATCTTTATCGGAAATTTCAGCAGCAGGCAAATATGGTGAAGTAGTTGGCATGTCATATTGTTCAAATTCTCCAAGGATATTCCGAATTTTAAGACATTCTTCAAGGTAGTTATCTTGATTCGCATCCACCAATTGAAGATATTCACCACGACAAAAGATGATAGAATGGTTTTGATTATCTGATTTACCATCTCCAAGTATTGGATTACCAGGAAGTTGAATCCGGTATTTTGGTTTGCGTTGGCCATCAGGTAGAACTTCACAATGGCCATCGATTAACACTGAGAATATTTTTGAGTCTTCTTCATTTTCAGATGGTACTTCTTCGAGGTAAGCGATCAGAAGGTTTGGATATACACGTAACAAGAACTCCACATTTTCTTTTTCTTCATTACTAAATTTGTTATATTGCTGCATGGAGACTAAAAACTTGAATTTGCGATTAGCCATGGAATTTAATTCCTCTTCAAGTTTTTCTAGATTATTACTAAACATTGTAGAAACTTCGGGATTTTCAACAGAATATAAAAGCTTAATCGCCTTTGAATAATTCATAAAGCCAGAAACTGTTCTATATAAAGTTTGTGTACGAAGTGATGCCCATATACGAGTGCGTAATGTAAATTCAGGTGCAGATGATTTAAAACCAACAGAATAAAATGGCAAATCATCCAATTTTGTATTCTTTTTTTCCTTTGAGTAATCATTTTCAAATTGATTTGGAATAGCCTTCAAGCTACGTTCTTCTGCCAAAAATTTTGTATCTTTAACAAAATTATCCCATTCAATTGGGTGAAGTTGTTTCAAGTATTCAATTAATGTTACTCGAGTGTTATGATCTTCTTCACGAATAACTTCACGAAGTGAAAGAAGAATTTTTTCAGAATAATGAGGTGTTAACACGGTGAAAGTAGGCATATTTTGTACAGGTAAAGGATTCGGAATTGATGTTGATAAACTTTGTGCAAAAAATAAAATTCGACGTTCTGCCTCGCTTGATGATGGGAAATATTCTTCTTGATATGATTTATTGGATTGAAAGAGCATCGGTGGTTTTAAAGTTCTCTTTCCATCATCAGAAAGAACCTAAGTATAAAAGTAAATGAATCTTAAGGAAAAATTTTTATGAAATATGAAATGAGCTTTTAGTATACTATGTATACTATAACTAGTGAATACAAACCTGTTGGTATAGTAATTTTTGTGCATTATCATAAGATATTAAATGTTCTCTATACATGGAAATAACAATAGCGTTCCAAACTTGTGATATCATAACTTTTGGTCTGTGTTTAGTCTCCATATTATATGTGGCTAAGAGCTTTGTATATATCCGTTTAGGTAACATGGAAAAGATATTTTGCCAAGGTGTCCAAATAGAGATACCGAGGTAAAATGAGCGAATCACGGAAAAAATAGTTTTCCAGATGACATACCACAGGTAAGTATCCAGGAAAAAAAGTACAAGATCCATAAAAAACATAATGACAATGGATATTACTGGCATGTAAGAACAAATAATTCCACCAACAAGTTTATCACCACAATCCAAAACCCTACTGTTTACCATTGCTTTAAGTGGATCTTTAAAAGAAAGTGCCAAGAAAAAATATGACTCAATCATTTTGCAACCAAATACACAACACCAAAGACCAATGGACATGGCACGATCGGTACGATTAAGTATAGGATAGCTAGCAGTATATGCCTTAAAAGTTTGATATTTCTGAAAACTTTTTGATGGTCTACCAAACAAGCTAGCACTTGGAATTATTGCAAAAGTTAATGTGGTCAATAATGAAATGACAAGTTGAACTATCCCAATAATCAAGGATATTTGTGTAGTACGTGCTTTTATGACAATGTAATATGTAGGTGAAGCATTAATAGTCAAAATGATAAATAAAAAAATTAAACGTCGTGATAACATTAAAAGATTATCAGTATTCAGAGGGATAAAGAAGAACTCGCAAATGCATCCGACAATCATGAACAAGGTGGACACTGCGCCACCAAGAGCTACGATTGACAATTGAACCGCAAGCTCAGGTTTTTCGGGGTCTGTATAAAGGAACGAAGCATTATAAGCAGTATAGTACCAAAAGGCTGCGACATGAATAATCCATATACGTGTAAAATTGACGGCAAGATGAAACCATGTGCGTTTTTCCTTATAAGTCTTCTCAAAAACACGATTCCAGTTTACTTGGGAAAGCATTTTATAACGCTTACTTAAAGGTAAGGCCATAAGAGGAGTTCCGTTATCTTGTAAAACAATACGATTGATGCTCTCATGATACCAAAATAATTGATTTATGTCATCATAACCGATTGTATCAGCGTGGTCTTTTTCTCTCTTGACGAACGTTCCATCAATGATTTCATAACTTTGATCACGAATATATTTGTAGAGTGGAGTAATGACATCTTTAAGATATTCACCTTCAGGAACAGGCTGTACTTTTACTTTATATTCTGGACCTTTGGCATAATCATCTGCCAATTTAAATATAAAACACAAACATTCACTAGTAAAACGAATCTGTGCAGCTTCACCCCATAATAAAAGCCATAACGCGAGTTGGCGAACACGGTCATGCTGAGACATTCTATTCATGCGTTGGTTCCACTGTTCATAAAGATTAACATTTTTTTGATCATGGATTGTTATTCCAACAGAGAGAGCATCATCTAAATACATTTGAGTTGCAAAGTACCATTTGCGATAATTAGCATGCTCCCCACCAATATAATCGGCATGAAGAGTCAACAAAGCTTGCGATGGGGCCATTCGAGAAGCGCGAGAATCTAATATACACATGAAATGATCAAACATGTTGCGCATGCTATCTTTTTGAAACCCAAATTTATTGGTAAGATCAATGAAAATGTCCTCAATTTCCTCCTTAGATACGGGGATTAGATTATCTGAACTCCATGCAGTATAAATTGTTCGCGAACACCGATTACCACTGCCAGGTGTATGTGGATAATTCAAACTATAATTAATTCCTTTGCTGGAGAAAAAATCGTTTCCTGCACCCACACCAAAACTATATTTATTATAATCATTAATCACGTTATTTGGAGAGCATGATCCATAAGGACTCTCCGTTCTTGAGTCAAGATCACTACGACTTTTACCCTTTTCGCTGTTGTTTAAGTCATGCTCTATAGAACAATAGAAGGATATAAGATATTGACGTTACACGAAATACTTACCGTTTGCCACTGCATATAGTACCCGGGTCCTACTTAAGAACTTCATTTTTTAAATATAATAATACCCGTGGGTACTGTGGATGATATATCATCTGAAAAGTAATAAATTAACATAGTTATACCCCGAGGTATTATTATTAATCCAGGTAAGCGGTGAGTCTTTATCAAGGGGTTTATTTTTGGGGAATACTGTATGCAGTGGTAAACGATACAAATCACTTTAAAAAGAAACTTTAATACGAACCACAATCTGAAACATCATATGCTTCGGCAGGATAAGCCGCCTCCTCAATATTTCGATTAGTTCCTTCTATATGTTGTTCTGTTTTATTATCACCTGATAAGTCATTAGCTAGATATTCAGAAGAATAGCGAATATCTGTCTCACGTATATTAGATGATCCGTCATCAGACACTTGCATCGTGAAAATTAAGATATATTTTCATATGTTTTTAATTGTTCACAAAAGATTTTGCTTCGTTATTGACCGAAGCACTAAAGATACAACTGGAATTCTCTTATTTATTTGATTTTTTCTTTCCATATTTTATATACTAACACATTGGATCCGCATCATTTTATCACCAATCACTTATTTCAATTCGCCGACTTCGATAAAATAGACATGTCTGTAACTATCTGTAGAAATAAGATATCTATGAAGCGATTATAACAACATTACATAATTATAATAAAGTAGACATTACATAATTATAATAATAAAGTAGACTCGTCAAAACAGTGATTTCTTATGGATCACCTCATTTTCTCCCGAAAATCATTTAATCTAATAATAGATTGGGTCCTGAAAAGACGAATAAAGACCACTCTTCTTTAACCGGTCTCAAAATTATTCGGTCCCCGGTTTTGAGACTGGTTTTTGTAAATATTCCACCTTACGGTATTGGGAATAAGTAGTGTATTCTAAAATTAAATAGGATTTTTCAAGTAGCATTTTTACAGGTAGGTTAGTGGTGCCATAAAAATGTCGCGGTGACGTGATAGTCGACCCGAATTTGATACTGATCAAATAGCAATAACATTTCAATGTTGCTATGATCAATAAATTAATGGGTTGGAAATAGTCGAAGATCACATGACCGCGACATTTTTATGACACCACTAACCTACCTCATTTTTACAAATCGAAATTTTAATTTTGAATCCCCTCATTGTTAATATTTAAGAAAGTTATTTCGATTACCGATGTCATATAATTTAATTCTTTCTGCTAGCTAATAAGATAGTTAGAGGTTGGAATCGTTTTTGAGACCGAGATTGGACTGGCAACACGATCAATTTTCCAATACTTATTTGTGCGTGAGAAAGTTTATATTGACGTTTGACGTTTGACGTACTAACTAGTGTGGTGTGACGTGAATACTTAGTATATGGTATACTGTATATACGGCGAGTATAATATATAAAGATGTATAGTAGGAAAAATAATTATCAACTTATGATCTAATATTCCGGTAATACATAGTACTTTATGGAAATGATTTTCATGCTAAATTATCATTGTTTGGACCAATCAAGATAGCATAACACGATTGATCGACCAATCAAATTACTGATTTACAAAATTCAAAGAGATTCAAGAAATAATTCTAATATCAACCAATCAAAACAAACTTTTGCTGTTAATAGCACCGGCAATTGCTTTGCACTAACCCTAACCCAACAGGAGGAACCGTTGATACGTCACAAAATCGTTACACAATTGATAAAAATTTTTTTTATATTATTTTACAATAC